AAACTGTAGAGTCCTGACCTGTAGATGAGTGTAAACTGTAGAGTCCTGACCTGTAGATGAGTGTAAACTGCAGAGTCCTGACCCGACGAAGTAGTTCGTCTGTGCTGGCTCATTCTTTTGAACAGTCAAGCCTATTGTTAGGCGATGGCCCTCTTTTGCATGTGACTAAATAGAGCTAATCAAGCCTATTGTTAGGTGATGGCCCTCTTTTGCATGTGACTAACCTGTTTGTCCACCAGGTGGAGGCGGAGCTTATAAGGCTGATTTCACCTGAAACTCACCAGACTGAAGAAGTCTCTCGGAGGAGAGACGAAACGTTTCACTAAAGAACCATCCAGAGGACCTACTTATTTTTGATTTTAGATTTTTTTCTGCCTGKATTACTGAGATGCATCAGGAAAGATTTATTGTCATTTTTTTATAAAACGATCTGTTTTCTAAAATAATAAATTCTTGAGTTGATCAAACAGATAAAGATCTCTGTGACCTTAAAAGGAATATTTAACAGCCGAAGTGTAGGAAACAGGCGCAGCTCTGAGGTTTACGTTTCAAACCCTGATGAAGTGCTGAGCGGGCCTTATGGGACCGCCGTAAATGGAAGTGTGGTTCTGCTGTCGGTGGGCTCAGAGAACCGGGCCGAGCCCACCTCTCCTGCGCTGCGGGGGGAATAAATTGTTGTAAAGTCATAACTGTTGTTGCTGCTTCTGTCGGCCCCTCACTGTGTTTCAGCTTCTGTTTGACAGAYGGTTTTTAACTGAACTAAGGGGTTCAGAACGAACGTGATTCTCAGGTGAGTGAAGGAAATGTTTCACTTTTAAGAGCCTCTTTCTGTTTTCTGAGAGTTTTCTGGTGAAGTTTTTAAAAAAATATATATGTTTTTTCTCCTCACCTTCTCGCTGATGTCATCGTACTCTTTCTCGGTGTCTCTGGCGTGTTGCTGAAGACTCTGAGCTCCCTCAGCGGCGCCCTCTGGTGTCTGCGGAGCGTCCTGCACCAGCCCCTGGGCCAGGTCTCTGAGGTAGACCACCTGAGGCTGCAGGGACCTCAGGCTCTCCTGCTGACTCCGTAACCTCTCCAGACTTTTGGCGCTGCATGCCTGGAGGGAGGAGCAGCAGTCACTGACTCGTTCGGCTCTTTCTTGATTTAAAATTAAWCTTATCCTGATAATTAAAGTGTCTGTGACRTCAAATTTTTGTAATACATATGAGTGCRTTTTTAKAAAGATAACATTGATAAAATACTGCAAAAGAAATTTCGTGTTGCTGAGATGAACGGTTGTTGAGATATTTGCCTGTGAAGTAACAGGAAGTGATGTTAAAGGGGAGTGTCTGCATGTAAACAGAGCGTTGCTACAACAGCCAACAACACAAACTGTAGAGAAGAATCTGATGTTTCTGTAGATTATTTTGAGTCTCTATCAGAGAAGAGTCAGAGTTTAAATAATGTTGTTTCAATAAACAAAGACCAGAGAGTTTTCTTTAAAGAGTTCCCCTTTGATGTCACTTCCTGTTTCACTTTGAGTCAAGTTCAAAAGAAAATACGCCAGTTAAGGGACAAAATGGGTTAAACCATGTGTATTATTCCAACTTTCTTAAAAATAAAGATTTTTTCTTTGACTTTTTGTATTTGAAGAATATGCATGTCACTGGAACTTTAACGCAGAGGTTCTCAAACTGGGGTCCCAGGACCCCAGGGGTCCACGAGAGGTATGTTGGGGGTCCTCAGAAAATGTCACTAAATTGTTAATTTGGTTTTTATTTTTAAAAATGCATGGAGAACAATGAACTAATAAAAAACATAATAAACTTAATACAAATATGTATTATCATGGCATTTAGGCATTTAAATTTTCTTTTAAAACAGTGTGGGGTTTATGAAGGGGTCCCCAGACCCAAAYGGCTCGACGTACCTGAGGTCCCAGAGCCTCCTGGACTTCTATCTGGTGCTTGGCGGCCTCCAGCCTCCTCTCCACGGCGTGCCTGCCCTCCTCAAACTCCTTCAGGCGGCCCGCCAGCTCCTCCAGCTGGGAGGTCCGGGTCAGGAGGCTCTCGTTCAGTCGGTCCACACGGCGGTTCAGCTGAGCTTTCTCATCCCGTAACTGAGAAACAAGAGAAACCATCTGAATGTTTGTGACACAGAAACACCTGAAACATCAGGACTGCAGGACAGTTTGCTCTAATTTGAGCAAACTTATAAAAACGGTTAAAGAAGTTCAACAGAAATGTAATCAAGTATTTTTAAAAACTTTATTTGTATCATTCTTGTGTTTTTGTGAATATTTTAAATGTTTTCTGCAGAGTAACAAGCGTCTCACCTCCTCCTCTCCGATGCAGCACTGCTCCAGCAGCTGATCAGCCGCCGTATTAAAAGCCTCCAGCAGGGGCTGGCGTCGGTCCAGGTCCAGGGTCAGGGACCGGGCCTTCTGCAGGGACTCGTCCAGGATGGAGGAGTCCAGGGACGGGTGGATGTCTCCGTCCTTCAGCTCGCACTCTGCTAACCATGGCGTCAGCTCGGCCTCGTGCTGCTGGTAGGTTTCGGCTTTGCTCAGGGTGTTCTTCAGCCGGGCCTCGCGCTCCGACATCCTCTGGTTCAGCCCGTCCCAGTCCTGTCTCAGGGAGGCCAGCCGGGACTGCAGGGCGGAGCGCTCGTCTGCGGGGAGGGTGGCCAGCAGGGACACGCCCTCGGCTTGGATCAGCTCGTAGGAGCCTCGCTGAGCTGCAACGCCACGCTGGAGCTCCTCGGTCTGAGCCAGCAGGGAGCGGAGGSCCTCGGGCCGGCAGGGCAGCGAGTCCGACTCTTTAGAGTCCGCCTGCTGGTCCAGCCACGAGCGCAGCTCCTCAAACATCTGCTGGAACTGCTGGGTGGAGGAGAGGGCGGCCTGCAGCTGAGACAGGCTGTCAGCTGGAGGAAGAGACGACACGATGGTCAGCTGGAGTTTTAGCTTCAAGCTATCGTTACTTTAGCTAATGGTTGATGCTTTTAGTCTATACTTAACTACTTTAGCTAACATTTGATACTTTTAGCTTCTAGCTATCATTACTTCAGCTAATGTTTTATACTTTTACCCTATAGTTAACTTGATAATTTTAGCTTCTAGCTATGATAACTTCAGCTAACGTTTGATGCTTTTAGCACCTAGCTATCATTACTTTAGCTAATGTTTGATGCTTTTAGCTTCTAGCTAGCTAATATTACTTCAGCTAATGTTTGACACTTTAAGCCTATAGTTAACTTGATAATTTTAGCTCCAAGCTATCATTATTTCAGCTAATGTTTGATGCTTTTAGCCTACAGTTAACATGCTAATTTTGGCTTCTAGCTATCATTACTTCAGTTAATGTTTGATATATTTAGCCCATAGTTAACCTGATAATTTTAGCTTCTAGCTATCATGACTTTAGCTAATCTTTGATACTTTTAGCCTATAATAAACCTGATAATTTTAGCTTCTAGCTATCATTACTTCAGCTAACATTTGATACTTTTAGCCTATAGCTAACCTGCTAATTTTAGCTTCTAGCTATCATTACTTNGCTAACATTTGATACTTTTAGCCTATAGCTAACCTGCTAATTTTAGCTTCTAGCTATCATTACTTCAGCTAACATTTGATACTTTTAGCCTATAGTTAACTTGATAATTTTAGCTTTTAGCTATCATTACATTAACTAATCGTTGATTCTTTTAGCCTATAGCTTTTAACTAGCCTTCAGATTGAAGTTAGCTCAGTTTCAGCTCCTTTAGCTAGTTTCAGCTGTCCTTCAGCACAGTGTTTCTTCAGTTTGAGGATGTTGAAGGAACTGGTCTCTGATGGATCTGGGCCGTACAGACCTGCTCGCTCCTCCAGACTCCTCAGTGGCACACTGACGCCCTCCAGACGTTTCCTCAGCTCCTCCTTCAGGTACGGTTCGGCCACGATGGCGCTCAGCTCCTGGCAGAGCCGCTCGGCCTCGCAGAGCTCGGCCCGCCGGCGCTCCAGGTCCGAGCGGATCTCTCCGGTCTCCTGYAGGCGGCGCCTCAGCGCCTCGGGCTGGGCGCTCAGCGAGGCCTGAGAGTCCAGCCTCTCACCGAGGACAGAGACGCTGGAGGACAGGTCTCTGAGCAGGGCCTGGACAGGACAGGTGGACAGGTGACCCCTCGGTTCTRTYRGGTCTGGAGCTGCAGGGTTCTGGTTCTCACCTGGTATCGCTCGCTGGTTCYTTGAGCCCGATCGATGTTTGTGGACCTCTGGGTCAATCTGCCCGTCAGATCCTCCCACTGCTGGGTGATGGAGCYCAGCTCGGTCCGGACCTCCTCCAGGTCCTGGGGCTCCTGAGCCGAGTCGCYGGTTTGGGACAGGATCCCCTGAGCGGACTGGGTCAGCTGGTGGAACTGGGGCCGCCGCGTCTCAAACTCCCGCAGCATGAACTGAAAACGGCGAGCAGCCGGCGTGACTTCACGAAAACAGGACAGACGACTGGAGCTGGTCCGAGTTCTCACCTGGACCTGTTGTTTCTGCGTGTTCAGCATGTTCGGGTCGATGCTCAGCGGGCCCAGAACGCTCATCATCAGCTCCTTCTCCCTCAGCCACGGCGACAGCTGATTGGCCGCCGAGGCGAAGCTGCCCAGCCTGTCGGCGCACGTCTCCAGCTCCGCCTGCCTCTGAGCCGCCGTCTGATTGGCCGTCTGCCAGCGGGAGTCTGAGGAGAAAAACGAGTCACTTCCTGGAGTTTCTCTAAAGGGATCCAGGATTAGTTACAACATTAGACTTTATTTAATTAACATTTATTTTAACTGTAAAAATACTGTAGGATGTTCAGTTTTTATCATTTTTAAACTAAAAGTTTAAAAATATATTTGAACATGGACGGGGCCATTTTATTTACACACAAAGCATTCTGGGTAAATGATGACGTGGATAGGTCCTCGGTGCGAGGCTGCTAGCGAGCTATATCCACCCTGAAGGTTAATCTTGGACAATATCTGATGATCGACTCTTTTAAATGAAACCAGAGAGCGTTGACAGAGAGGAGAAGGTAGAAATGACTCAGCCTGGAACTGAAAATATGGATGGAGGACCTCATTTTAGCTTGTTTGTCACGCTAGCGCCGAGCTAATACATACAGTATAAGGCAATATAGCGTCGGCGCTAAAGCTAGCAGGCTAAGCTGAGGCTCTTCTTTAAAGAGTCCGTGTTAAAATATATTTTAAAAATGTACAAAACTAAACATCCTACAGTATTTTTACAGACTTTATTTTACAGTTAAAATAAATGTTTATTACATAAAGTCTAATGTTACAACTAATTCTGGATCCCTTTAAAAACACGACCCCTCAGAGAGGTCTGGACCGGTACCTACCGATCTCCTGCAGCTGCTGCCTCCAGCTGTCRGCTTCAGGACCATCTGGATTTTCAGAGATCAGTTTCCTCAAAGTTGCTTTCAGGTCCTCCACCCTCCCTGAGTGCTCAGCCAGCTCTGACAGCAGAGCCTGGAGGACGAAACGAAACAAAAACAGGTCAGGTTTATTAAATACAAGCTGYAAGAAGGGATTAAAGTTTCCTCTGGTGGTACCTGGTTGTGCTGGGCCTGAGCACGGACCACCTCAGGTTTGGAGGGCGAGGTGGTCTGCTGCTTCAGGCTCTCCTCCCTGTGGCTCAGCCAGCTCCTCAGGTCCTGCGCCTCCTGCTGGGCCTTGTGCCGGAGCTGCAGGGAGGCCCGCTGCCGGTTCAGACGCTCCTTCAGCTCTCCGCCCAGAGCATCGTAACGAGCGTTCACGTCAGAGACAGAAACCTGCAGCTCCGTCAGGTCTGACAGCAGAAACACAGCTGCTGAGTCCACAGCTTTATACAAGTACTGTGTGCAACAACACATGTACCTGTATCGAACCGTTCAGTACACACTTGTATCGAACAATACAGATTTTTTATTAATTTATTTTATCAACTTGTCTTCTRAAGATGCTCTGTGTTGAAGGATCAGTGGATCTGTGTTCGACTACTCCACCTAGGCTGCATTTTTGAGCACAGATCCACTGAGAAACTTGCTGTTTCAGCAACATTTAATTTAAAAACTGTACTTTTGAGGTTAAACAAATGTTCATAATTAATTTAAATAAATTACAAGTTGAAAGGGCATGGACATTTATCTTTTTTGTATCAAAAAAATATTGAACCGTGAGACTAAATTATTGAACCGAACTGTGAATTTTCTGTATCGCTGCACCTTTACTAAGTACATTTACTTTGTTACAGTACTTCAGTAGTTTTTTTGAGGATTTGTAATTTTACCAAGTATTTTTTAAATTGTGACTTAGTTATTTTTAAAACCTAAAAATGATACTTTGACTTCTTTACTTTAAAGTTTAACACACCTATTTGTTATAAATTAAATCTGTCTGAACTCATCATGAAAACAGTTTATGTGCTCTAAAAAAATAAGTGTTGAATTTACTCAAMTAAATCATATCAACTATTTCCACTAAACCCAGTAGAGTAAATTTGAAGCGATATACATATTTTATTTTAAAGAAATTGACAACTTGGTTTTGTGGAGACAGTTTGGTTGTGTAAATTTAAGTGTATTTGTTAGTGCGTGGAAAAGTACTTTTACTTTCTCAATTTTTGTGAATAGTTTTATGACTTTTACTTTAAGTACTGTAGTTATTCATGTATGATACTAGAAATTTAACCCTAAAAATCATCAATAAAGCAGGATGGTAGAATTATACACGCTATTGATGATTTAGGTTTTTTATGCTTTTTAATCTCAAAAAATTAAGATCATATTTTACATGAATAAATACGGCAGTTTTCTCATCAGTGACATTTATTTTTACCAAAGTCATTTTCTGTGAAGGTAATTTTACTTTTATTTAGTTATTTTTTTAAGTACTTTATGTACGCCTGCTGATTTCAGACACAACAAACCTCCTCGGTGTTTAAAACAAACGTGTCTGAAGAAGAAAAAGAGGCGGAGTCAGAGCTCACCTTTACAGGTGTGGATGCCGTTCACACTGCTGGGACCTGCGGAGCCGTTGATCTGAGCCACACCTGCAGAGAAAAACAACAAAATAAATGTAAACAAACCATCACAACCTGGTTAATTTATAAACCCTTAAAACTGTCAGAAGAGATTTATTCACCAGTTTTGGTCTGAGGAGTCGTAACGTCGATGATGAGAGACTCCAGCTCAGATCCGGTTCTGTTCAGATCCTGGACTCTGGATCCTTGGGAGTCCCAGTCCGTCAGCAGCTCCTGAAGTTGGAAAAACATTTTTAYTTTTTATTTTAAAAAATTCAAATCCTCTTTCACAGATTCACTCCCAGAATATTTCTTTAAAAGGTTGAAAGGTTTTTCCTGCTGTCTCACCTGGAGCTGCTGGACTCGTCTCTGCAGGGACTCCGTGTTCAGGTTGAACTCTTTGGGGGGCAGCTGGTCCTGAGCCGCCTGGAGCCACCGGACCAGGGAACCYGAGAGGCCCCGGAACTGCAGGAGCTGCTGCTCGCAGGCCTGGACCGCWGCAAACCTGAGAGGAAACGGAAGAAGAAGCTCTGCTTCAGAGGAGTTCACAGTGAATCTGTTTCCTTTATTTATTTTATTCTATCTGAAACAGAAACATTTAATCATTTAAATTAAAGTTTTTAAATCCTGCATGCAGCTTTGTAAACTACAGATGCTTCAACACTCTCCTTTAATAAATGCTGAGCCTGCAGCGCCCCCTGCTGGGTTCAGGCTGAGCTGTTCAGCTGCTGACTCCTACCTGTCGTTGACGTTTTGTTGCAGCTCKGTGAACTCGTCTCTCACTCCTCTGACGGTCTCCACCAGGTTCTGAGTGTTACTGAAGGCTTTGGACTGGCTCAGTTCGGTACCGAGGGTGCAGAAAGATTGCAGCTGACCCGCTTCCTGCTCCAGCTCAGATCTTACCTCCTGAAGGAAGAAATAAAAATCAAAGTTAGTGTTCGGAGCATCCTCTCTGCAGACAATGGACCGGTGAGCGCTGCGCTGACCTCGATGGTTTGCCTGTAGTCCCCCACGCTGCGGTCCGGTTGGCCCGCCGGGCTCAGAGCCTTCAGCCGGGTCTGGGTGAAGGTCTGCAGGTCTGCGCCGAGCCTCTCCAGGCTCTCCAGCCGAGGCAGCAGCACCTTCAGCTCGGCTTCACTCTCAGCTTGGCTGCTCTGCGCTGCGGCGTAACGCCGGGTCAGCTCGTCCAAACCGGACCGGAGGCCCGGAGCCGCCGAGGCGTCCGAGCTCTGCAGGAGTCTGGAAACCGAGTCCCGGGTCGCCTCCATGCTGCCCTGCCTGGAGAGCAGCTCCTGACGCAGTTTCTGAGGAGGAAGTGGAAGCTGGAGCTGCAGCTAAACATTACTTTACTAATCTATTAATCTATCGATTATTCTGATGATTAATTGGATATAAATATTAGCATGTTTTGCAGTCATTTATTTTATGAGAAATACAATTATTTAATATTTTGAAGGGGTAATCGACACCTGCTGATGACCCTGCTGCAGTCAAAGTAAAATTACACCAGTTGTATTAATTCATRCATTTTAAGCTCCAGTTACTTATATTTAAATATGTGAGGTTTGAGGAGGCGTTAATTAATAAACATGTTTCAGCTCAAACTGTCAATCTGTGCTTTTATTTTTATCTGACAAACTTACAGTAAGTCTTGTTTTTAATCACACAACTTACACACTGTTTAATAAAACCCTGCCAGGTCACCATGATTAGTCAGCACAAATAACATTAGCTTAAATATGCCTCCKCCKYGTACAKCTGGAACATGACAGATTATCACAGATTAACTCCRGATGTGTTCGGTACAAACAGCACAGCTGTTTTTGTTCCGGTGCAGAAACATTGAGGATGTGAAGCTCATTGTCGTCTTTTCTGTTTAGTTTTAAATGTTCCCATGTTTTTTATAATTTGTCGTTTTCTGAGCGCTTCGTTTCGGCACTCTTCGTCTTCCTCTAAAGCTAAACATAGCTTAGCTTAGAGAGCATGCACGCGTCGACAGTGTAACTGTTAGCTGAAGCGCTAACGTCGTAGCATTGTGTAACACAACATTCTGACAGGATGAAAGTGTGTTGATTATAACAGTGTGTATTTTTACRAAGCTTCCAGGCAGATAATTTGCCTCGAGGATTTTTTGTAACCGAATTATTCGAGGAATCGTTTCAGCTCAAGTGTTCTCTAATTAATATTTCCTCCGGTTCGGTTCCTACCTGGTTCTGAGTCAGGGCCTCCTGCACAGCCTGGGAGGTGGGCTCCACTGGTCCGGGATGTAAAACCAGTTGGTCCAGCCAGCCCAGCAGACCCTTCAGACCCTCCTGGACGCTGACGGACTGAGCCACAGCCGTCTGCAGCTGCTCGGCTCGTTCTGAGRCGGAGGCTGAGAGGCTGCCGAACCTCTTCTCCAAACCGTCTGAGCAGAAAGACGGAGCAGCAAAAACTCATTTATTCATTTATCTAAACAACAACAAGTTCTATATACAACTAAATACAATCACTAATTACATGAAAGTTAGCAGAAGAAAAAAGTAATAGCTGCCCCTTTTCTCACTAAACAAATTTAATCAAAAAATAATCTTCAAATACAAAACAAAAAAACAAAGAGAAAAAACAAAACAAAACAAAAACGAAAGGTTTGACTTCTTGAGCAACAATTCTTGCACTATACCTTTTTATATTTCTCCAACAGATTAACCTTTATCATACTCTTAAACATACATGCTGATCTGGCCCTTTTAACGTCATCCTCCAGATTATTCTATAATTTTATTCTCTGGACTGTAGCACTCCGTCCCCTCAAGCTGTTCAAACTTTAGGTTTGACAAACATTTCTATCCCTTTGAGATTATAACACTTCTCTCTTTTAACAAAATGTAATTGGATGTTTGAAGATAATGTGTTTTTATGAGCCCTACGACTGATAAAATATTATAATCAACCAAATAATAGAATGTCAATAACTTTAACTGATGAAACAATGTGTCTGATGCTGATAATTCTTACAGCTCGTTTCTGTAAAATAAAAACAGGATTTGTAATTATTTTACATGCTTTTCCCCAAACATCAACACAGTAAATCAAGTGTGGAACAATTATCACATTATATAATATAAACAGAGCTTTATCCTTAAATAAATCCTTTACTTTGTACAATACTGCAATGGATTTACCTATTTCTATTTTTGTTCTTAAATGATTTATATGAGGTCTCCATGTCAGCTTCTCATCACTGATAACACCAGAAACTTCCCCTCACCTTTATAAGCTTTTTGTTATAAAGAAAACGTGAAACTAAAATCAGAGCTCAGGTGGACGAGGTCACCTGCTGCGCAGAGGATGTCCACGGCCTTCAGAGACGGACACTCGTTGGTGCTGACCAGGTCTCGCCCTGCTCTCTGGACCTTCTCCAGCTGGACGGAGCGTTCTGCCAGTTCGTCCTGCAGCAGCTGAACAACACAAACACATGTCAGAACTCAGAACCGTTGTCCACGGTTCACTTCGGCAACCGTTGTCCACGGTTCACTTCGGCAACCGCTGTCCACGGTTCACTTCGGCAACCGCTGTCCACGGTTCACTTCAGCAACCGCTGTCCACGGTTCACTTCAGCAACCGCTGTCCACGGTTCACTTCAGCAACCGCTGTCCACGGTTCACTTCAGCAACCGTTGACCACGGTTAACCTCAGCAACCGTTGTCCACGGTTCACTTCAGCAACCGCTGTCCACGGTTAACCTCAGCAACCGTTGTCCACGGTTAACCTCAGCAACCGCTGTCCACGGTTCACTTCAGCAACCGCTGTCCACGGTTCACTTCAGCAACCGTTNAACTTCAGTAACCGCTGTCCACGGTTAACATCAGTAACCGCTGTCCACGGTTAACTTCAGCAACCGTTGTCCACGGTTAACTTCAGCAACCGTTGTCCACGGTTAACTTCAGCAACCGCTGTCCACGGTTAACTTCAGCAACCGCTGTCCACGGTTAACTTCAGCAACCGCTGTCCACGGTTAACTTCAGCAACCGCTGTCCACGGTTAACTTCAGCAACCGCTGTCCACGGTTAACTTCAGTAACCGTTGTCCACGGTTAACTTCAGGGTTTCATGTCTCCACCTGCACTTGTCTCAGAGCGCTCTGCAGGTCCCGAGGGTCTGTGTCTCCGCCGGACTTGGCGACGCTCTGGTTCTGTTCGTGAGCGCTGAGCCAGGAGTGAAGCGAGACCACCTGGTCCTGATACTGCTGGTATCGCTCCAACAGGCCGGACAAACGGCCGCCCAGCTCTGTGGACTACAACCAGACGGCTTTCAGTTTGGTTTCTACGTGAACGTGGGATGACAACGCGGCGTGGCTCACCTTGGTGTGCAGAGTCGTGTATCTGTGGTTGGARTCCTGCAGCTTGTGGGACACCAGCTCCTTCAGGCTGGTCAGAGCCGGATCTGAACCAGCAGCTTGCTCCAAAGCTCCCTGAACAGAATCCAGAACCTTCTGCCCAGAGATAGAGACAAAACGCAGGTCGGCCTTGTGGCAGATCACGTCCTCACCGAGCTGAAGGAAACAAAATAAGAAACACTTTACAGACAACCTGAGCTAAAACAGGTCAAATCATTCCAGGAAGTGTCAAATAAATGTTCTGAAAGGTCCGTTTGTGGCTCGGAAAGACAACTGAACCTTTCTGTGCTCGTCCAGCCTGTCCTTCAGTCCCGGTGCGTCCGTTTCTCCTTCCCCCAGAGAACGAAGCTCCTGCTCACTCTGTTCCAGCCAGGAGCCCAGAGTCCCGTGTTCCTGCAGGAACTTGGTCAGCTCGTCCTTCAGAGCCTCACATTTCCTCAGACGGTGCTGAAACCAACATTTCAGTCAAGAAACGAGCTAAATGTGTGCATATATCTACAGTATGTATGTATTGTTGTCCCTTTAATGTTTTTAGGGCCATTCTTAATCAGTTTGTTCTTAAGACATTTGTTTGTAAATGTTTTAACTGATTTTTACCCTAGTGTAAAGTGTATGTATGGGTGTATATATATATATATATATGTATACATGCTTTACAGAAAAATAATAATTAATTTTATTATTGTATAGATATGTATTTTGTTGCTATGTTTTCTTATATTCTTTTATTTTCAGGTGAGCAGACGGATGTCAGGTGTGTTGCATTGTGTTTTCTTGTTGTATATTTAATGTTTTCTAATCTCTCTTTGCGTCTTTCCAATTACATTTACTCTTTTTCTCCTTTCCTCTTTAAAAAAAACTCACTGATGAATGAATTAAGAAACTAACATTAAGTTATTTTTTTCTACTGAAGTGACAAAAAAAACAAGAAACAAGCTAAATGAGAGAACAAAGAGCAGCTTTTTATCATTTGTTTTGTTAAATTGTTTTTGTTTTTGCCAGCTGTCGGTACCTGGCAGTTCTGCAGTCGGTCCTGGTGCTGAGCCTGCAGCTGGTCCAGGGCGGCTCGGAGTCTCTGTTTCTCCTCAGGGGGAACCGTGGAGTCGGGCCGGTCCAGTAGGGAGCGGACCGACTGGGTGATCTGCAGTAACTGAGCCTGCTGGGCCTGCAGCTGCTGCAGCTCCGCCTGAAGGGTCAAAGGTCACAGGAGGTCAGAAGCTGCTGGTTCTGAACCAGAACATCAGATCAGACTTGGAGGAGAGGTTTGGACCTGCAGCATCTCTGTGTGTGACGTCACGGCGCCCTCTGGCTGAGAGAACAGGACATCCGGAACATCCAGACCTGATCCAGTCCTGAGCGGCTGGTCCAGTGAGGCCAGCTGGTTCAGGAGAGAGTCCATCTGGTTCTGGGTCTCCTGCAGCTCCTCCACTGCTTTGGCCTGGAGAGGAAAATCAAAGCGTTATGACCATCTTTAACAGAAAACATAATGTGGGAGCAGGCGTGACCTCCTCACCCGCTGCGTGTTCTGTTGGACCGTGGCGTTGATGGTCGTGTCCAGCTCCGACACGGACGTGTTCAAAGACTCTGTCAGAGCGCCGTACTGCTCCTTCAGGCTGGTCAGAGTCCTGTGGAGGTTCTCCTTCTCCTCTGGGCTCAGGCTTTCTCCTTTCTCAGACAGAAACTCCTCCACCGAGCGGATGGCCTCAGCGACGCCCTCAGCTTTGGCCTGGAGCTCCTTCTGCACCTCCTGGAGACGAAGAGAACTAGTTAATCCACAGAAACCACATTTTATGTGAAAAATAAAACAATCAAACTGCAGAGATTTCAATAGTTATTTTACCTTCATTTTACCTCATTACTTTAGCTAAACTTTGATACTTTTACCCTGTAGTAAACTTGATAATTTTAGCTTCTAGCTATCATTACTTCAGCTAATCATTGATACTTTTCGCCTACAATTAACTTGATAATTTTAGCTTCTAGCTATCATTACTTCAGCTAATTTTTGCTACTTTTGGCCTATAGTAAACTTGATAATTTTAGCTTCTAGCTATCATTACTTTAGCTAATCATTGATACTTTTCACCTACAATTAACTTGATAATTTTAGCTTCTAGCTATCATTACTTTAGCTAATCATTGATAATTTTACCCTATAGTAAACTTGATAATTTTAGCTTATAGCTATTATTACTTTAGCTAATCATTGATACTTTTCGCCTACAATTAACTTGATAATTTTAGCTTCTAGCTATCATTACTTTAGCTAATCATTGATACTTTTCGCCTACTATTAACTTCATAATTTTAGCTTCTAGCTATCATTACTTTAGCTAATCATTGATACTTTTACCCTATAGTTAACCTGCTAATTTTAGCTTCTAGCTATCATTATTTCAGCTAATCTTTCAATATGGACACGTCCACGTTCAATATTTTACCTTCAGTTTGTTGTGCTTCTCCTGCAGGATGCTGACGTCACCTGACTCTCCTCCTGCTCTCTGATTGGCCATCAGGCTAGCAGCTCCAGCCAACCACACGTTGAGACCTTCTAGTTTCTGAGAACACTCTGCTTTCTGCTGCTGGACCATCTGAGGGAGAAACAGCAGCACGTGTGAGGATCAGACGTCCTGAACGGTTTTTAAAACCACATCATTGTTTTCTTTTCAGTTTTTCCTCCTAGAGCTTTAACAGCTAAACTGAATTACTGTGGCTGAGCTTTGAGCAGATTGTGTCCAGAAGTCACACTTTCACACACAGACACTTTAACACAGAAACAATCATTTTTTTGTTTGTTTTTCCTCCTCAGCATTCAGATGAGACGAGAGGAAAAACAGGTAAAAAGCGCTGCAGCTGGCAGAGTTTACTGTCGTTACCGCTGTGACGCAAGCGAGCTTCTTCTGTGGCCATCTGCAAACAGCAAGCAAACACGTTAATAACACATTTAAAGACATGCAGAACACGTTAGCATGAAGAGAGGGAGGTTACTGTAGAGAGAGGACATTAAAGGGAGAGTTCTCTCTATAAATGTGAAGTATTTATGGGCAGTCGAGTGCTGCAGTGGAGAAAAACAATTAAAAATCTGAACTTTCCCTTTAATTTTCAGTGTAGTGAAAGATCACACTGCAGTGGAGGTTATCGTGGACAAACTGATGTTTTAGATTAAAAGTAAAAAAGCACAAAGGTTAAAAAAGCTGATAAAACGTCTGCAGAACATCTAACAGCATCTCTGTCCAAACCTCCATCTCCTCTGCATTTTTCCTTTCTTTATCCTTCTCCTCTTCCTCCAGCCTCTCTCTCTCCTCCTCCCGCTCCCGGCGGGCGACCAGAGCGTGGACCCGGGCCTGAGCTCGGCCCGACGCTCCGTGGAAGGACCTCTGCAGCTGCTGGAGCTGCCCGAGGAGCTGCCTGCTCTGCTCGGGGGTCAGGTCGGGGGCTCTCTCGGAGACGAAGAGCTGGATGTCGAAGATGACGTCGTTGACCTCGGAGGAGCGAGAGGACAGGGAGGACTGCAGCTCCTTTATGGAGGAAACCAGAACTTATTAACTTATAAACATATAAAAGCTCTGAACAGAACAAAATATCAATAAATTCCACTCACCTTGCAGAGATCCAGCTGCTGTCTGATCTGATCCAGGCTGTCTTCTGTCTCTTTGTCCATCTGAGCCTCCATGTCCTTCAACCACAGCAGCAGTTTGTCCACTCGTTGTCCCAACAGTTTCTGCTCAGCTGTTACTGTGCTCTAAAAATAAAAATAAAATAAAATCACAGATGTGGTGAAGCTCTGCCTCGGAGCAGTGTAACCAGTCCACCTCACCTTGCACGAGTCTCTCTGGTCTTTCAGACTTTGCAGAACACTCTGGGAGAGAGCTTTAGCAGCCTGGTAACCTCGAGCCAAGCTCCGCCCATCTTTTTCCAGAGCCAATAGGAGTTGCGGAGGAACGTCGTCAGGTCTGGGGTTCAGCAGGTGCTCTGCCGCCTCCACCTCTCTGTGGATCTCTGGCTCCAGGTCGCACAGCTCAAGGTCCAAAACCTGAGTGGATCAGAAGAGAAAGTTTATTGATGGAATTAAATCTGATTTTAAATCAGCAAACAGTTTGTTTCACCTCTGTCTGCTGGATGATGTCGTCCAAGGCGACGAGGCCGCGGCCCACAGCTAGCTGCTGCTGCTGCTTCAGTCGTACCTCCACATGTCTGATCACAGAGAGCAGAGCTACCATCTGCTGGTCGTGCTCCAAACATTCCTGACGAAGGACAGACGGCTGCAGGAGGACAGAAAATATAAATACGATCAATCCAAACATCTTTTTAATCAATAACTGTTTGAAGAAATAAACAGTACCTTGCTAACAGGCTCGGCCACTTCAGACCCACCAGGAGCTTCTTCTGTCTTTTCTGGAGAKTCGTGATGTTGCTGCAGGTTTCTTAAAGAGTCGGTATCTTCAGGACTTCCTGGTTGCTTCCTGATCGTTTTTCCAGGAGCGACAGCCTGAACTGAGGACCAAGTGTCGTGTTTGACACAAACATCCTGGGAAACATCAGCGAGTTCGATCGTGTCTGTGAGTGAACTCTGTTGAGGAGGCCTGATGATGACATCATCGTCTGTCTTCACCTTCTGGTCCTGGGTCAAACCTGAGCCGTCTGAGTCTGGTTTTGATTCAGACGTGATTTTTTCTACTGGCAGCTCAGAATCCAGTTTTCCATCCACGGTTAGCTTCTCTGCACCAGAATCATCTCGGACTGTAACGGGTGAACTCTTGGATTTTTTGCTCTTCTTGCTTCGTTTGCTCGTTTCTTTAGGCTGGACCGATGGAAACGTCTCAATGGTTTTTGGTTCTTTCTTACTTGAAGAAACCGTTGAAGATTTATCCTGCAGGGTCTCTTGGACTGTTGATTGGAGATCTTCTGAGTTTTCTTCCAGTTTGTCGTCTTTGATGAGTTTTTGGTCTTTAGCTGAACCAGATCTCTTGAAACCAACCTGACTTTTATCTTCTGGACTTTGTGCCTTTTTAGTTCCAGTAGCCGGGACTTTAACTTCCTTCTTCCTCCCCTCTTTATGCCTCAACGCCTCCAGCTCCTCAGCAGCCTGCTTCTCACTGACTCCTCTCTCAAACACCTTCTTAAGAATGCTCTCTTTAGCTTTTAGTATCAGAGCTGCTTTCTCGTCGTCTTTAAGAGCTGATTTTTTTGGTATTCCTTCTTCTTTCCCTCTCTTCACCTCCTGGTTGCTCTCTGGTTCTTCAGAGACAAAAGCCTCCTCAGATTCCTCCTCCTCAACCTTTTTAGATACCTTTACAGTTTTGGCTCCATCTTTCTCAGTCTCTGTGTTTGGTTTAGGAAGCTCTTCTTGCTCCTGTTTCACTGAATCCTTTTCAGTCTTACCAACCTTCTCTCCACAGAGAGGGTCAGGGTCTGATTTTGGTAATTCTGCTGTGTTTACGTTATCAGCCTCTGTGACTTCTGTCCCAGCGCCATCAGTTTGAGACAGACGTTTTATCTCTGGGTGTTTAGGTTCAGCTTCTACCTCTTTACCCTTCCCCTTCTTTCTGTTCTTTTTCTTCTTCTTGCTTTTGTTTTCAAACTCTTTGCTCGCAGACGTTTCAATCTGATCTGAACATTCTGCAGCAGTGATGGTTTTGATCTCTTTAGTAGAGTCTTCTATATCACCTCTCAGTGTTGTTAAACCATTTTTGAGTTCTTCGTTTACAGTCGACAGCACCGTTTTACCTTCGCCTCCTTTGTCGTCTATAATTTCTGTAAGGTTTACTTCTCCAGAAACAGGAGTGGCCTTTAATGAGGTCTCATCAATACATCTGAGCTCCTCATCCTCGTTKAGTGGCTTCTGTTTGTCTTCTTTGATGTCTGTTTGAGAGTCTTTGTCTGCAGGATGGAAGACAGTCTGAGTGGACTCTCCAACGTTATCAGTCTTATCTTTATCTATCTCCAGTTTTCTATTAGCCTTCTGTTTGAAAAGATTCTCTGATTCACAAACGTCTTTCAGTGGCCTTATTTTCTTTTTGGTTTCCTGAATTGTATCTTTGATAGAAAGTTTCTCTTTTTCTTTTCCTTTGACCTCTGTCTGTGAGTCAGCAGGATGGAAGATGGTCTGAGTGGACTGTCCAACTGGCTCTGTTAACTTGTCTTTCCTTTGGCCACCATCAGTTTTATTTATTTTCATCTCCAAGTTCTGATCAGGTTCTTGTTTGGGAAGACTTTCTGACTTACTGATGTCCATCTGTGAGGTTATGTCATCTTCATTTTCCTGAACTATTTTCATAACATGAGATAGTTTCTGCTTTTCTTCTTCTTTCTGTGAGTCTTTCTCAGTGGGATGGACAATTGCCTGAGTGGACTGTCCAAACTTGCTTTGCCCTTGTTTGTCTGTTTTATCCTGATCTGTCTCCAGTTTCTCATCAGGCTCTTGCTTGTAAAAACGTTTTGATTTATCAATGTCCTTCTGTGGTACGACTACCTCTTTGGATTCCTGGACTACAATCTTAGCACTAGATGGTTTCTTCTTTTTGTCTTTGACCTCTTTCTGTGAATCTTGGTCCATATGATGGAAAACTGTCTGAGTGGACTGACCAAACTTGCTTTGTCCTTGTTCATTGTCTGTTTTAGCCTGATCCATATCCATTTTCTCATCAGGCTCTTGTTTGGGAAAACTTTCTGATTTATTGATGTCTTTCTGTGGTACCACCTCTTCTTTGGATTCCTGGACTATATCATTAAACGGTTTCTTCTTTTTGTCTTTGACCTCTCTCTGTGAATCTTGGTCCATATGATGGAAAACAATCTGAGTGGACTGTGCAAACTTGCTTTGTCCTTGTTCATCATCTGTTTTATCCTGATCTGTCTTCAGTTTCTCATCAGGTTCCTGTTTGTAAAAACTTTCTGATTTCTTGATGTCTTTCTGTGGTACAACCTCCTCTTTGGATTCCTGGACTACAATGTTAACACTAGATGGTTTCTTATTTTTATCCTTGACCTCTTTCTGTGAATCTTGTTTAATATGAAGGAAAACTGCCTGAGTGGACTCTCCAACTGACTCTCTAAACTTGTCTTTCCTTTGTCCGTCATCAGCTTTATCCAAGTTCTGATCAGGTTCTTGTTTGGGAAGACTTTCTGACTTACCGATATCTTTCTGTGATGTTATCTCCTCTTCAGTTTCCTGAACTATTTTCATAACATGAGATAGTTTCTCCCCTTCTTCTTCTTCTTTCTGTGAGTCTTTCTCAGTGGGATGGAAAACCATCTGAGTGGACTGTCCAAACTTGCTTTGTCCTTGTTCATCATCTGTTTTATCCTGATCTGTCTCCAGTTTCTCATCGGGCTCTTGTTTGTAAAAACTTTCTGATTTGATGTCTTTCTGTGGTACGACCTCTTCTTTGGATTCCTGGACTACAATCTTAACACTAGATGGTTCCTTCTTTTTGTGTTTGACCTCTTTCTGTGTATCTTGTTTAATATGATGGAAAACTGTCTGAGTGGACTCTCCAACTGACTCTCTAAACTTGTCTTTCCTTTGTCCATCAACAGTTTTATCCAAGTTCTGATCAGTCTCTTGTTTGTAAAAACTTTCTGACTTACTGATGTCTTTCTGTGCTAAGACCTCCTCTTTGGATTCCTGGACTACAATCTCAACACTAGATGGTTTCTTCTTTTTGTCTTTGACCTCTTTCTGTGAATTTTGGTCCATATAATGGGAAACTGCCTGAGTGGACTCTCCAACTGACTTTCTAAACTTTTCTTTCTTTTGTCCATCATCAGTTTTATCTATTTCCATCTCCAAGTTCTGATCAAGTTCTTGTTTGCGAAGACTTTCTGACTTACTAATGTCCATATGTGATGTTATCTCCTCTTCAGTTTCCTGAACTATTTTCATAACATGAGATAGTTTCTCCCTTTCTTCTTCTTTCTGTGAGTCTTTCTCAGTAGGATGGAAAACCATCTGAGTGGACTGTCCAACTGACTCTCTGAAAATCATTATTTCTTCTCCATTATCAGTTTTGTCATTTTCTAGCTGAAATCTCTGGTCAGGTTCTTGTTTCTCCTCTGTTTGCTGAACTCTTATTCTAACAGACAATCTCTCCCATTCTTCCTCTCTGACCTCTTCCTGTGGCTCTTGGTCAGGAAGACTGAAAACCATCTCAGAGGTCTCTCCAACTAAATCCTTGGTTTTCTTTTGTCCATCATCAGTTTTTCCTTCATCTGTCTCCAGTCTTTGATTGGGCTCTGGCTTGGGAAGACTCGTAGATTTCTCTCTCTGTGGTGTTATCTCCTCGATGGATTGCTGAATTCTCTTCTCAACATTAGATGCAAACTTCAACAACACATCCACGGACTGATCAGGGTCAGATAAAGGTTTCTCTCCTACTGACTCTGATCCCTCTGTTCTGTCATTTTCTGGAGTTTTTCGGTACAATAGTGGCTGATCTGAATAAAGAGGTGTCGACCTCTTGTCGTCATCCTGTGTGACTTCTACAGATTTTATTGAAGGTGGAGATCTTGAGGATGCCCCAGAGTACGAATCAGACCAGTTTTCTGGACATTCTGGGCTCGTCCCAGTCGACATAATGGTTRTGGAGTTATCATCTGCCTCCACTCTCTCCTGGATTTCTAATGCCAGGTCACTTGTTATCAGTCCTAATGAAACTGCATCAGTGAGACTTGAGACTCGTTGTCCGGTTGCAGGATTAATTAAGCCTCCTTTGATAAACTGGTTGGAGGCTATTTCTTTGGCCATATAATCTTCAACTAAACCTCTGGTAGAGGCTTCAGGAAGTGGGAGTCTTTCTCCAGTCCTGATATCAATGATACCGCCACTGTCTGCCTGGGTCTGGAGCAGCCTCAGTGCAGGAACTGGGTCAACTCGTTTTAATGCAACAGCCTCAGGAAGGGTCAGGTTCTGCGTTGCTTGCCTACTATGAACACCTAGGAATGGTTTCACCTCGAGGAAGCGTTTGCCTGTTTCTATATCAAKCTTACCCTGGTTTACAAGCTCTGAATAAGGTACAATTTGTGCAGTTTGAGGGTCGATTGCTCCTTGTTTTACTGAAGGAGAAGCCATGACTTCATTGGCTACGTTCTCTTCTAGAAGACCCTTAGCAACTGCCTCTGTCAGCGTCAGCCTAACTCCAGTATCAGGGTCTAAAACAGCTCCGGTTGTTGCCTGGAAAGCAACTGCGTCTGGGTTACTCGATGTGCTGGCTTTTCCTTGATAGACCCATTCTAGTTCTTCGAGTCCTGGAGTTATAGACCGATCAACCAGTCCTCTATCTACAGCATCAGAGACTGTCAGTCTCATTCCTGAAGCATGATGTATTATTCCTCCTTCAGCCACCTGCCTTGCCAACACCTGATAAGCATCCTCAGATGTAATTAACCCTTTCTTGATTGCTTGTTCCAGAGAAACAGGAGACTTTGACTCTGGGTCAACAACACCTTCCATCTGCAGCTGTAAACTGGCTTTCATGAGTGTTGTTGCAGAGTCCACATCCTTTCCTTTGTAAGCCTTTTCAAGTGCCACCAGTTTTTCTCTTTGTTCTTCTTCAATCAGTCCCAGATTTTCTGCTAATGTGACCGAGACCTTCTTATCCCTGCGTAGGTCGATGATGCCTCCAGATGCCACCTGGGCTTCCAGAAGTCGAGCAGCGGTGTTGGAGTCTATCAGCCCAGCCTGAGCTGCATCCCTGACCCCACAGATCTGCCTTTTCTCCACATCCACAACACCAGCAATGGTTTTATCTGATTTCAAGACACTCCACATCAGATCCTCATCAAGTAAACCCTCCTGCATGACTTCCTCCATGCTTAGTGACTCAGCACTGCCAGCATCTAGAAATCCCCCAAACAGACCTGCCTGAGCCATTAACTTCACTGCCGTATGGCCAGGAAGAACACCCTGAGCTACGGCTTCATCTGGCAGAAGMTTTTCTCCTTCCTCTGTCTTTAGACCTCCCTGTTTCAACTCAAAAACTAATCTCTCCAACTCATCTTCCTCACAGAGCTTTTCAGTCTTTGGGTTAACTTCATCAACCTGAGTTTCTGACTGGTTGGAGTCCATCTCTGTTTCAGGAAAACCTTGTGTCATCTCAACCAAACCAGTATGGGAAGGTTTTATAAGTTTAGTTTCTTCAGACTCCGCTTTAACTCTATGAATAAATCCTGGCTGTAGCTCTTTTTCAATAACTTCTTTTGATTTTAGAGGGGCTGCAGTGGCAGTATCTTTGGTACCCTGACTGAGACTTTCCTCAGGTATGAGACTTAAGTTTTCTTCTTTTTGGTCATTTCTTGTTGCATCAACAGAAATTTTATTTGTAGCTTTAATGACTAATTCATCACTCCCTTCAGTTCCTGATGAATTCTTCTGCAACAGGTTATCTGCTTTCCTATTAGGCTGTGCTTCATTTCTGCTCACATCATCAATTTCAAAATAATTTCCTGAAGTTAAAACACTAGAGTTGTCTTCGTCAGTCATCATTTCATCGTTGCTTGCTGCTTGAGCTGACATACTAACGTTTCCATCAGTTTTTGGCATTGCTGGTTGATCTGCAGACAAACTGCTTGAAGGCTCAGCTTGATCTAATTTTACTGCAGCTGAGTCCGCAGCTTTAACCATCTCCATTAGCTCATGGTCGAGCAGCACCAACCGTTTTCCAGAATGTGCATCCACATAGCTGTGAGACATGATGTGAAAGAGCAGCTTGTATTTGGCTTCTTCTTCAGGATCGGCCTGGTCGGTCGGTGCAGTTTCCCACATGAGGCCTGCGGGGGACGACAGCAGCGGAGAGGATAGAGAGGAGCTGGTGGATCCCCAGCTCAGACAGTTTAAAGATGGGGTGCCTGCCTGATTCATATTGTAAACATCTGGTATGTGAATGCTTCTAAGACATCTGGCAACATCAGGATCAAGGTCTTCTACTGCAGCCTGCTTTATGGGCAGAACTTGAAGAGTTTCTGGGTTGTACAGACCCCCAATGACGTGTCTCTGCCTTAGGATTTTTCTTGCTAGGTCCCCGGATATCAACCCCTGTTGAATGGCCTCAGCAACTGGCATAAGTTCTCCAGATTCAGGCCAAAGGATCCCCATAAAAGCCCAAGAAGACTCGAGAACCAGCAGAGCTAAACAAGGGGAGAGAAGGTCCCTGCGAATACCTTCCTCTAAATCCAGGTGTTCCCTACTGAGCGGGTCAAAAATTCCCCCCCTTTGCAGTTGCCGCGCTAACATGGTGCAGGCTAAATCCTGGTCCATGAGCCCGTGGCGAACTGCCTCACCGATCGTCAGCCGGTGGCCAGTTCGCGGGTCAGAAATACCACCGGCAAAGAGCTGAGCCTCGAGAAGTCGCACCGTAACTTTACGATCAATCAGTCTCTCCTGGACTGCACGAAAGATGCCAACTTTTCTCCCGGAACGAAGGCAAACAGTTCCTCCGGGGTGCTGTTTGACAGGGAGGAGCAGCTGACCTGAGTTGTCGTCGATAATGCAGCACTGTTTTAGCTCCTCTATATTTATTTGCTTAGCTGTGTTTGGATCGATCAGATCTTTGTGTTGAAGTCTGGGCTCCAACTTCGTTATGATTCTCGGAGACAAAACCCTCATATCCTCTGCTTGCTCCAAGCTTAGGATGTTTCCAGATGAATCTCTCAGTCCTCCAGTTTTCATCTGAAGTTCCAGAACACGAAGTCCCACCTCTTCTCTGATCAAACCAGACTCCACGGCTGCAGCTACAGAGGAAACGCTTTGGTCACTCAAAGACTCTTTGATTAAACCCAAAGCACTCTCAAGCTCAGACAGCGACCGTCTGGTGGGAACATCAATAAGGCCTTGTTTTAGAGCACAATCCAGTGAGAGACAAACAGTGGAGTCCGGTTGGACAAGTCCACCCAGAACCAGCTGGGCCTCCAGCAGAACACGGCAGGTGTCCTGGTCGATGAGACCACGTTGGGCTGCTTCAAACACAGAGAACGTCTCCACTCTGCCCAGGTCAATCACTCCAGCAACGGCAGCTTGGTTCTGCAAAGAGAAACAAAAACCCAGATTAAAATCCTTCTGGCATCAACAGGTTCTTTAGAGTTAGAACTTCTACAGCCTCAGCGTGTTTTAATCCACCAGAGACGTTTAATATGAGCAGATTAGAGAAAAAAAACCACGACCACTTACAAACACCTTTAAAACGTTTAAAAACTTTACTTCCCAACTATGTTAAAAAGCTTTTTTAAATCACCAACAAGCGCTAAGCATGCAACAAAGCAAAACTTACAAAAAGCTTAAAAAAAGGAAGGAGCATCGAAAGAAACAAGAATCCAGAGGAAAAGGAAGGTAATAAAATTCTACGAGAGAAACGCATGCAAGAGAGAAAGCGAGCGCTACTTACCGTTCGAGCGTGTCCCGTGGTGAAAACAATAATCGGAGCGAATGTCTCGGCAGAGCGAGGCGCGGCGCGACAGSTGGAAGCTGATTGTTAGCTTTCTGCATGCTACACTGCTCTGCTTTAAATCTAAACCCCACAACACGGACTTATTTAAACATGAGTTTCATCTAACTTAACCACTACAGGATAAATTTATTAAGAAGCACGCTTTCTTTCCCACATCTGACATTCTGATCCTCGGCTCATGAAGTCCACATTTCTCCTCTGGCAGCTGTTAGTGAGTTTCAAGCACAAAGCTGGTTTAAAGTTTCACACATTAACAATTTGCATTAGAACACACAACATTCCATTCATACACACACTTCTGTGATCTGGACACAACATGCTCAAACGGTGAAGTGAGTCATTTTGTTTTTTGTTGCACAGGTGGCCTTTAGGTGCGTTTATACGACATTACAACAATTTAATTTGGAGATCAGCTTCAAAACTAACAAACGGTTACCTCAGAGTAAATCCTCACACACACCTGATCAGTCTTCAACTGACAAACTGCACAGAGCTGAACATTTGATAAACTGGAACAAAATAATCTGTGAAATGATGAGTTAACTTATACAAAATGCTTCATCACTAAATGAAATTTAAAAATRTGAAGCTACACAGAGTGCTATGAGGAGCCATTTAGGTCAAATTATTTGTTGACCTGACATTAAACATGTTTTTCTCATACATATGTATTTTCACACACATTCAGTGACACAGGAAGTCCTTAAACTCAAACCAGGAAACACATTAAAAAGATCATTTCTGTTTTTTTAAATAGAATATTGTTTAGCAGAAGTACATAAAACCAAGTTTAGCATGTTTCTAAAAAACATACTGTAATGGAAATACTCCACTAAGGCAGAAACACATGAATAAAACACAGTGAAACTGCGTGGTTTGGTCATCAAATGATTTAATAAAGTTGCGTATGCAAAAGAGATCGAGTGAGAACCGGGCAGACATGAATCAGAGCATCTGTTAAGTTCGTACTGGTCAGCTAACAGGAAACAGACAGTTATAAACATCYGGTGGAGTTYGTAGGCAGCCAGTCACTCTTAAGTCTCAAAGTTTTGTGGTCTTCATCTATCATTTGCTGTTTAGATTTGTTCAATCTATTATTCTAGAAGTAAATGCCATAATCATTTCTTCTACTTGCCTTGTYCTAATTTGCATTACTTAAGGTTCATTTATTGGCAAATGGTTGTTAAGTTAACATTTTATTCAAGATAAGGTTTCGATGGAACATAAGCGGCTAATGCTATTCAAATTCACTGGAGGTGAAACTTGTGTTTGTGATACTTTGTCATTTTGGACCACTTAAGTTTTTTAAATTTTGACATGTCTACTTTGATTGTCTTATTGTCTTATTGAGTCTGCACTGTTTWACATTGCACTTGTTCCTTTTACATTGGTGTTGACGCAGTTTATGGTTACTTATGTTATATATTGATTAGTGACTAATCAAGAGGAGGGAKTGTGGTGGAAATATTAYATAATCCTGCATAASTGCTAAGTTYATATTACCTTGACATGTTCTGTTCCKTATCTCATTGATTACTGCCACATCTGTATAATCTGTCTTATGATTATAAGACGCTGTACGTATGTCTGCAACCTTGCTCTCATACTGAAGTGCTCAGTGCCGGCTGTCGCTTTGTCATTGKTTCTCTGTTAACATTTGTTATCCTGTGATTGGCTGCCTACGAACTCTATCGGCTGTTTATAACTGTGTTTCCTGTTAGCTGACCAGTGCAAACTTGACAGATGCTCTGATTCACGTCTGCCCGGTTCTCATTCAGTCTCTCTTGCATACACAACTTTATTAAACSGTTTGACGACCAAACCACKCAGTTTCACTTTGTTTTATTCACGTGTTTCTGCCTTAGTGGAGTATTTCCATTACACATACTAAAATAAAAACAAAACTTTTATTCTGCAAAGCAGCGTTCTGTTTATATAACCTGGTCACTTCCTGTTTAACTGAAGGGATAAAAACAAAAAAATGATAATTTGTATGAAGGTACGAGGAGAACATGTGATAAATTCAGTCTTAAACAGAACAGATGTTTCTAATGTGATGCAGGGACTTTCTAWAGAAGCATCTAGAAGCAGAGCTCTACGGTTTATACTGCAGCACCACTGAGGCCACCATGTTAGCAGCTCAGCAAGCGTTTGTTTCACATGGTGATGATGAAAAACGAGACTTAAAAACCAGATGAATGAAATGATGGCGGGTTTAAATAATGTTAGGATGAGTTACTCCACAAACAGACCCGGTTCAGACACTAAAATCATCTTATTCAAACTCTTCTGAACAGGTTCTGTGATGTTTGTTAAATCAGTGATGGTGATTTTTTTAAATGCACACTCTGTGAACACAACATGCTGTACAACACAAACACACACTCCCGCTGATTCACACACATTAGTTTGCAGGCGTGTTCAGACTCAAAGCATTTCTTTAAGTTTTGTCGTTTCTCAAAGCAACCTACAAACGTGTCGTTTGTCTCAAATGTTTTAAAATCTTTTGTCGGTCTTAGCCCCGCCCCTTCAGCACATATACCTTTCTCTCCTCCTCTTTGGCCAGCTGTTGCTCCAGCTGCTGCAGCTGCTGGGCGGAGCTGTCCAGCAGCTGGTTGTAAGAGGCCGTCAGCTCGTCCAGCTGAGCCTCTACCTGAGCTCGCTCCTCGGGGGACAACCTGGAGGAAACAGAGACGTGGTTACACAGACTTACTGTAACGACATTTAATTAAGAATTATATGGGATAAATCCTGTGCCAGCAGCAACTGAATCTGAATGCATTGGTTTGAAAATAAATTTCACTAAATTTTACTGAATTTAAAGTTTTGTATCTGAATTAATTTGCTTTGAAACTGTATTTTGGT